TTAGGTTTAGTGAACTAAGGTGCAGTTTTTTTTTTTTTGGGAGCAAGGAAAACTAAGGTGAATTTTAGAATTTTTTTTAGCAGGCAAAACTAAACAGCAGCGGTGGCACATTGGATGGGCTCATTTTATGGGCCTTTAATGTGTGACGAGTGGCTACTGTTACCTATGGTATAGTAGCTCAAGAGACCCAAGTGCAATTGACTGCACCATTCTTATCTACAACACCAAAATAGATCATCTTAATCAAGAGCAACCCTTATTTCCCTTACTGTTCAAGATAGTTTCTAATTGTAGATTTATAGTCATTGCACTAACAATTATGGATTCAAAAATTTTTTATTTTTATTATTATTTTTTTTGTTGGGAAGGGGAGGGTTAGGGGTAATTATGGATTCAACATAAACCACTTTTTGTAGTCTAGAAGATCTAGGGACCAAGAACAAATTCAATATGTTGTCAAGTGAAATTCCATATACTATACTTGCAGATTCAAAGACATTTCCCAAAACAAAATGAAAGAACGATTTCTTCCATCCCCCACACCAGAATATAAGAGAAAAGACCACCAGTCCACGCGTAGTTTAATGTGTCCAAACTAAGAACTTTTGGGTCTAAAAGGACAAATCCATGAATAAAGACCATAATGCCCCTAATACATATGGTGTTGTGCAACATGCATACTTTTTCCTATGGCAAAAGCAGATTTCTCTCTCAACATGTGCACGAACACATATCTCTCTCACTCTCTTTCAACAACATGCCAATGGAGCGTTATATTTCTCTCCCCAGCTCGTCATTTTCTCCCTCCCCAAACAACGCCATCTCCAATAGTCCGCTTTGACCTCTCTCTTTGATTTATCTACTCAACTCAGAATTTCAAGCAAAAGCAGAACAACTTACTAAATCCGTGAACTATGAAGTATGAAGTTGCAGAAATATAGAATCAAAATATATCAAAATCTAAAAATCCAAAATCAGCAATAATTTTTCAAATTTAAATTGTCCAAAAATTAAGAATTATCAATAACTAAGTCTAAAAAGTCATAAATGAGATTCGGCAAATTTCTACCACAAAACAACTAGGGTTCTTCAAAGCGAACACTAATAAGTTTGAAACTTATTTTGCTGTAACTCTTGGGATTAGAAATTCTTTACAGCCAGGAATCCGAGCAGTGAGCAACGGAGCAACAATGTTGGTACTTGTTATACCCAATATCTAGTCTAACATTAGAAGGTGCAAAATTCAAGAACCTGTCTCCTTCGATGGTGGGGCTAGATTCACTTTATTTATCAGATCCAAATTAACTTGGATTTGCTGCAAGTTGGTTGGATTGTGTTTGATCTGGTGTTTGCAAGGCATAATCTAGTAGATCTGGTTCCGTTGCTACACAATCCATTTGATCTATTGGTAGCATCGCAGAAGCCATTTATAGTTCGAGATCGATGGCACCTACAACATCATCTCTGCTAGCCATGACGGTGGTGGATTTGACACCATGGACGACTTCGAGATGACAATCTATAATATAAAATGGAGTAACTTCAACTAATTCATTTTACAATTCAAATTAATTCATTCAACGATCACCAACATCTCTTCATTTTCTCCCAAATTCATTACTTCCCACTTATAATTTTTTTCAAAAATCTGAAATATCAGTCACCTCACCAGTCAGAGATGCTGAATTTTGTATTTCTTCGTGCCTTCAGATACGGGATATAACTAGTCCGATAATAAATTACACCTAAATCATCTGAAGTTTGTAATCTTGTAATACTTAGACTCCTCAAATTTAAATTATTATATTTAGACTAAAAATATTCTAATTAAAGATAGAATATCAAAACATTTTAAATTTCAAAATAAAAATTCATGTTTTATTGCATAATTTATTGAAATAAAATATAAATTTTTTCCTAAAAAATCGTAATTAATATACAATTAAACTATCTATTGAAATAAAATTAAAAAAATCAAACAAGGGGCTAAATCATTCATAAAAGAACATGAATTTTTCAATCATAATTCATGTTTTATTAATTCATTTATTAAAATCAAATCAAAATTTTTTTCTTAAAAACTCATAATTAGTATATTATTATAATGTCTATTAGAATAAAACTAAAAAATTAAATAAATGGTCAAACTATAATAGACATTATATCCTCTAGATTTAATTGGGATAATTTGATAGTTTAAACGACCAAATTAAATTATAATAGATAGTATAATTGCATATTAATTATGATTTTTTAATAAAAAATTAAAATTTTCATTTTAATTTCGCTCAATAAATGATATAATAGAACAAAAATTTTAATTGTAAAATTTAAAATATTTGATATTATATTTTTATAAGAGTATTTTTTATTTAAATATAATATTTTAAATTTGAGAAATCTAAGTATTATGTATGTAAAAACTTTTAAAAATTTGAGTATAATTTATTAACGGATATACTAACGATGACAGATGTTTAAGTGTTACGTACTTACAAAGGTTAATATTTCAAATATAATGCAATTCTCTCATTTTTTTTTCACTCTGTCAATCTTTACACTCTCTCTCTTTGTTACGCCCCAGCGACACCAGCAGCAACACCGCCACTTTGTCAGCAACACCACCACAACAACCACCGCTGCTGTCGGTCCTTACCCTCTCTCTCTTTATCTCTCTCTCTCTCTCTGTTATGCCCTAGCGACCCCACTAGCACCAACACCACCACCGCCGCCACTTCGTCAGCAACACCATCACCACCACCGCCGCCACTTCGTCAGCAACACCATCACCACCACCATCTCTCACTATCGCTCCTCTCTCTCTTGCCCTCAACTCCCAAGTGACCATCAGCACTGACGCCCTCCTTCTCTCACAGGTTTGTCGTCTTCTCTTTCGCTGCTACTGAGGATTGAAAACCACACACACATGTTTTCATCCAACACCCCTCTCTCTTTCGCTATCTACTCATCTCATTTCCCCCCTCTCTCTCTATCACTTGCCACTGTCCTAATCCCACCCCACGACCCCAATCCACCAACCACAACTACTATCCCTCCTCCTCTCCCCAAACGATTACAAACCACCACCACAGCCCTACCAAACAAAAAAAGTGTTTATCAAAATGCCCGAGAGTTGGGCGATCCCCTCTGTTTCTTTGACTTATTTCAAAAGGCCTGAAATTTTTTGTGATTTGGTTTGATTTGAAGGTGAGTTTCTTGAATTAATTGATTAATTTATTGATTCAAACAGATTGACGCTCTCTATTTCTCTGCGTGCTTCTATTTACTAATTTAGGGATAACTCTAATTTGGTTTCTGTTGAGTTATTGGTTTCAAGTTGAAATTGATTCACTTCAGGCTAATTGATTCCCACTCCCTCACCCCTTCTCTGTTTCCATTTTGATTTTTATTTTCCTATTCTTTCAATTTTGGTTTCCAATTTTTGAAGTAGATTGGTGATTGGATTGCTATGGATATTAAACAATTTTGAAGTTTTAGAAATTTAGATCAAAATTTACAGGCTGCTGTGGTTGATTTGGATTTTCAGCGTTGTTCCTGGTGAGAAGGGCTCTTAACGACACTCTGAATTGGATGTATAAGATATTAAAGAGTTAATACAGGTTCAATTGTTCTTTCTTTTTTAGCCTTTACGGATTTTTGCCCAATCCATTTGACTTTTTTTTTCCCTCTTCAACCTTATTACTTCAACAGAAATTCATCTTGAACTCTTGAGAAATGAAATTTTTCACACTCAACAGCTACTAGCAAACTGTGAATCAAAACTTTGATCTTTTGTGCCATGTATATGCCATGGATGTAGCATCTCAAAGAAAGGTAAATTATCTACAATGCACCTAATTATTTGATTGGTGGTAGTTGAATTTGTAATGGTTATCTATGAAATGGTGAATTTGTTGTGGATTTTGGATTAAAGCTATTAAATGATATGATTGTAGTTTAATATTGGGTGTGAATTGTTATAATAGGTCACCAACAGGTTTTTAGTTCAATGGTACTCCTTGTTTTGTGAAGGTTTTACCCCCTCTCCCTCCCCCTCCCCCTCCCCAAAATTTTTTTTTGTTGAAATAGGTCATTAATTTGTGTCGTTGGAGAATGTAGGCCACATACCTGTAAATCCATTTGTTGGATGTTTAGGTCCCTCAATTTACTTGAGTTAGGCCTTTGGTTAAATGATTAGGGAGTCATATAATTGTAGGGTGTTGTAATGGAATTTTGGGGTCCNTCTCCTCTCCCCAAACCATTACAAGCCACCACCACAGCCCTATCAAGCAAATAAAGTGTTTATCGAAATGCCCGAGTGTTGGGCGACCCCCTCTGTTTCTTTGACTTATTCCAGAAGGCCTGGAATTTTTTGTGATTTGGTTTGATTTAAAGGTGAGTTTCTTGAATTAATTGATTAATTTATTGATTCAAACAGATTGACGCCAATCTATTTCTCCGCCTGCTTATATTTACTAATTTAGGGATAACTCTAATGCGGTTTCTATTGAGTTATTGGTTTCAAGTTGAAATTGATTCGCTTCGGTCTAATTGATTCCCACTCACCCCACCCCTTCTCTGTTTCCATTTTGATTTTTATTTTCCTATTCTTTCAATTTTGGTTTCCAATTTTTGAAGTAGATTGGTGATTGGATTGCTATGGATATTAAACAATTTTGAAGATTTAGAAATTTAGATCAAAATTTACAGGCTGCTGTGGTTGATTTGGATTTTCAGCGTTGTTCCTGGTGAGAAGGGCTCTTAACGACACTCTGAATTGGATGTATAAGATATTAAAGAGTTAATACAGGTTCAATTGTTCTTTCTTTTTTAGCCTTTACGGATTTTTGCCCAATCCATTTGACTTTTTTTTTCCCTCTTCAACCTTATTACTTCAACAGAAATTCATCTTGAACTCTTGAGAAATGAAATTTTTCACACTCAACAGCTACTAGCAAACTGTGAATCAAAACTTTGATCTTTTGTGCCATGTATATGCCATGGATGTAGCATCTCAAAGAAAGGTAAATTATCTACAATGCACCTAATTATTTGATTGGTGGTAGTTGAATTTGTAATGGTTATCTATGAAATGGTGAATTTGTTGTGGATTTTGGATTAAAGCTATTAAATGATATGATTGTAGTTTAATATTGGGTGTGAATTGTTATAATAGGTCACCAACAGGTTTTTAGTTCAATGGTACTCCTTGTTTTGTGAAGGTTTTACCCCCTCTCCCTCCCCCTCCCCCTCCCCAAAATTTTTTTTTGTTGAAATAGGTCATTAATTTGTGTCGTTGGAGAATGTAGGCCACATACCTGTAAATCCATTTGTTGGATGTTTAGGTCCCTCAATTTACTTGAGTTAGGCCTTTGGTTAAATGATTAGGGAGTCATATAATTGTAGGGTGTTGTAATGGAATTTTGGGGTCCATTTGGGAAATAAAAGTGTACGATTGACGTAAGATATTAAGAGAAAAAAAAATTCATTATGCAGTTTTATGACTTTTGCATAGCTGTGATTTTCTTTGTTGGATGTTTATTATTCTTAATTATTAGAAAAAAATTCTTGTGTGTTTATTGCTCAAGTGCCATCGCCTCACTATAAATTTTTGATCTCTTTACTTGGTTTTTTTCATATAGAAGTGTACTAAACAAATTTTATTGCGATTGTTTTGAAGTGTTCTCTGATTTATCCTTTTTGTGAAGAAGATAGAAAACAAACCACAATATTGCCGAGATGGAGCAGATGCCAAGGTACCAAATCCAATCGATCATAGTGAGAAAATGGTTTGTAGCGCTGGACGAAGTGTCCTCAACCTTGACATCTCAAGCTTCTACACATTTTGTGAGCAGGAGGTGACCCATTTGGTGCACCCACAAAGCTGTGGCCATGGCCCATGGGAAGATGCTACCAGTTTATTAACAATGGCCAATTAGAGAAGATGAACCTAAAGTAGCCACTTTCACTAATTCATCTAATGTACTGTCAAGTAAAATTAAGTTTATTTGGAACAATTCATGATGTAGTGAGACTGAACTTTGAGTTCTTAACCAAGCTTGGAGTAGACAAGTGGTGCTTCCACAATGACAACTTTAATGTACAAGTAGTCCTTAAATCCGGGATATATTTTCGCAGCCCTTCTAAGGTATTGATCTACAATAACTTGCTTGAGAAAAGTTGTAAAAATCAGGAAAAAATTAAACTTTTTTCGACAAATAGCAAAATAGTAATTTGTCACTATTATGCGGGTTTAAAATGTATATTTTTAAAGATCTCGGATGGAGCAATGGACTTCATCGTTGGATTCGTATCGCAGAATTGAGTTGTCATGTCAATTTTCGTCGAATTTCAAGATAGTTGGATTTTACACGTTTTTTGAGACAATTGAGTGATGAATGAACTTTCAAGGGTTCCCAAAAATAAAAATTATAAAATTTCCTTATAACTAGATAAAATTTCAAATAAAATTAATTTGAACTAAAATCGAAATTTAATTAAGTCATTTCGGGTTAAAAACGCACCCAAAAGTGATAAACGAGCGGGGCGATGTGGACCACGAAATTAAAAGTATAAATAGGGCTAAATGTCTGAAAAATCAGATTTTTCTCAATCCTTAGTCGGCTGAGTTCAAGTGTGTGAAGAGAAGAGAAGAGAGAAAATAGAAATTTCTACCTTTCTCCTCTGATCCAAGAAGTTCCGACTGTTGGAATCCTTCGGACCAAGAATTAAAATTGGTCTACGCGACGAGGGCTACACGTACATACCAAGAACAAGGAATTTCACCAAAATTTCAAGGAAGAAATTTTAGAAAAATTAAAAGTTTGGGGCTTGAGAGTTGTTCTTGAGTTTTTCCCTTTCTTTTACGCTATAAGAGGTAGGGGGTTTTCTACTTTAGTTCATTTCCTACCTATACTGTTATATGAAATGTATGGGTTAAAGGGAATATGTATATCACTCACTTATGCATATGAAATGGGTGAAATGAGTATGAAAAAAGAGTATGTAAATGGGTTAGAATAGATTTTCCTAACTTGAAATTATGATGTGGAAATTACTTGGTTGGTAATTCCATGAAAAAGTGATTGTATGGGCATGCCATATGATTAACATTATGTCTTGTGATTGAGTGTGATTGGCATGAGCTTGCGTAATCCTATGCTTGAGATATGTGTTGGGTATATGAATGGTGATATATGCTAGTTGATATATTGACATGATAATGGATTTTGGTGATTTTATACATGTGATATAAATTGTCATGACACATGTGGAGATGTGTGGTTTAAATTTGGCTCATTGGCATACATCACATTAAGCATGACATTGATTGGGCAATGGTGCATTACATTGCATTTGCACAGGAAAAATGCATCAATGGCCATGAGTATGAGTGTGTGAGTACATGGTTGGATTAATCACCATACTTGATGTTTGATGGGTGGGCTCGAAAAAGTGGGGTTGAATATCCTACTGAGTCGCACGGTCACATACATGGAAAAACTTGTGTTGGGTATAGCAAGAAGGGATAGATCCCCCCTCGGGTGCAAGGCACGACTATTGGTTTATACACTTCCAACGGTGGAAGTCCAAAAAAGTGTATCGGCATGTGGAGCCAGTAGTGCAACACCAAAAGTCCACTACCCAAATAAGGACACATGGTTTTGGTTGGCCAAATGATTCATTTGATGGGAAACATCTAGAAATGAATTGGTTTTTATGAACATATGAGTTTTGTTTCAAAGATGATCATTGGATGTATTTTATCAATGACAAGGGCTTACACTTGCATTGCATACTGTGGAGAGTGCCGGTGAGGGTTNCATTTGATGGGAAACATCTAGAAATGAATTGGTTTTTATGAACATATGAGTTTTGTTTCAAAGATGATCATTGGATGTATTTTATCAATGACAAGGGCTTACACTTGCATTGCATACTGTGGAGAGAGCCGGTGAGGGTTCGGGTTGATGTGCGTGAGTGGATCTCATTTCATTCATGGCATGACATGGTAGATTCCAACATGAAACATGCATATTCTTGCTTGGAATGACTGTATAATTGTGAATGTTGTATATGAACATTACATATGTATTTAGGTTGGGGAGTAGCCTCTGTAGGAAATATTCTACTAAGCGTTGACTCACTCTATACGGGAAAACATTTCAGGTGTGGGGTTCGTACCGGGAGAGGACTCGCATTCGGGGCCTCAAAGATGAAGAAAAGCTGACTTATGGCTTTTGTGGCATATTTTGGGTAATCTTTGTTGGAACAATGTTTTAACATGTAAAAATTATGCAAATGCATGTAATAGAACTTGTATGGATCATGTATAATGTAGAAAGTTTTTGTTGTTGCACAATGCCTTCAATAATTGGTTTGAAGTCGTGTTTCTTTAAATAAAAAGGATTTTTTTTTTTTTTGTGTTGTGAACAATGCTATAAGACAGATAATTTGTTGCAATAGTGCCTTAAAGTACGGGCAATTACTAGTAATCTCATAAATTAGTGAAAGCGATCCAAATAAAAGTTTCAAAATGAATTACGATCCAAAAATGTATACCAACTAATTCTACTCAAACCGTATTGTGTATCATAGAAAGCATCATATTGTGTACACGTATCTACAACACATAGCAATCAACCTACAATCCATTCAACATTGGAAATACTACAAAGATCCTTCAAGGGAAAGGAGCTTCCTTTGTGCAAATTCAGAGGACTGATACCGAGAACGTTGTATTTTTGGATCAAAGAGTTTTTGTATCCATCTTGAGATTCACATATATAGTTTTTGGTGGAATTTAGATTCATACCTAGAGATTTTGTTGGAGTCCCCACGGAGGTACAAATATAGGAAGCCATTCTTCTATACTCTTTATATATTTGTGCAGGGAGAGATCTTATTTGTGTACAAGCACTTCTAGCTTTTCCTCTCTACCTCCCTCCTTGGGGGAGAAGAGCTAGCTCTTAGTGTGCACGTTTGCACTAGGCAGTGGGGGCTATTTTGCACCTGTACGTAACCGAGTTGTCCTCTAATCAAAAGATTTTCTCTTCAAAATGAAAGAACTGCATATTTAATTGGCAGTTTCTATATTTTTTTTTCAAATATTTAAATATTAAATTTGAGACTGTCAATATTCCTTAGATGTTAACTACCGTTTGAATTTTAAAATTTCAAACGAAATTAATATTTTATTATCATCTTCTATCGAAGTATGTTTTATTCACCAGTTCATTATCATCTTCTCCCATTGTATTTCTTCTTCACTAGTTCACGAGATTAAAGAATCTCCCATTATCATATTAAATTGAGATTTTTCTCCTTCACCAATTCTATCTTTTCCAAAAACTGCAATCAAATAGGACGTCATTAATCTATAAGTATTCAACGTTTGAATGCTATGTCTTTCAACATCTTCATGAAAAAAAAAAAAAAAAGTCAGCATCTTCATGAAATCCCATTCACAACATATATGTTCAAAAACCTATTTGAGAATGTTAATCTCGTTCCTCATTCTGAAAACATATATGAAATCCCATTCTAATTTTTTTTTATCGTTGGAAATGATTTTTTGTAAGCTTATAACGAAATATTTTCATAACGTTTGAAATTTCTAGTGAATGAAATTTTCAGAATTTTGGAACATGAAATTTTTGGATAAATGAAATTTAAAGCTTGCAAATTTTTGAAAACATAATTTTTTGTCGGAAACATCATATGTTCAATGTTGATGAAATCCCATCACATGTTTAATCTCTTTTTTCATTCTGAAAACATAAATGAAATCCCATTCTAAAATTTATTCAAGATTGGAACTAATTTTTTTTAAGCTTCTACTTCACTATTTTCATGAAGAGTTTTTTTTTTTTTCTGGCCATCGATGAATTCTGGAACATGAAATTTTTTAAAACATCATATGTTCAACGTTCAAACATCAGATTATTTGGAAATGGTGTTGTTCGTTTTGAAGTACCTATGTTTTTTTTTTTTTCTGAATGACCTTGTTGATAATTTCTCGAACCAAATATATACGGGGTAATTGTTTTTTTACATTAAATTACATTAATTTAGTGGATTATATGATTTTCTGTTTGGTGTCACTCATTTGTTGTGGAAACTTGTTGCTCATTTTATGTTAATTTCATATTTAAGTATGTAAGGAATGATCATGCTATTAAGCAAATATCATCTTGAGACATTGATTATGAGATGTTCGGGTCTATCAAGCTTTGATTTCATTTTGCATGGAGCTTGTGAGAAATGGGACAAGTTGAGAAATTTGGTTGTGGGCATATCATACTTAATTCCATGTCATCCAAATTGTTCTCGACGAAACAATGATGACATGAAGAATTTGTTTCAGCTAGTACATTTTATTAATGTCAATCATATTGATATGAGGGTGTATGTGTGCAATAATGCTTTAGGCATTGTGGTTGATAGTGAGTTGTTTGAAGATGTTCATATTGTTGAAAACGGGGTGGGATCTGAGGTCGATTTGCATCTTTGTTTTTGTTCACATACTGAGAAAGTTCTTTTAATATTTTGGGTGGGATAAATGAAATCAAGTGTGAAGGTCAAAATTTTGAAGGGGGTGTTACCCATTTTTGGATTGTTTATGCAAATACGCAAATGAAGTTGGGTTTAACCTCAATTATGTGAAGAATTGTAAGTCGAGGGTTGTTGCGGAATGTGAGTTAAAGTACCCTGTAGGATGTGGGTGGCTTGTCATTGCTACTCTTCAAAAGGAGAATGGTTTCTTTTACATAAGGAAACTACAAAACCAATACACTTGTGGAGTAACTCTACGTACAACCCAAAACAAGAGGATGTCTTCCAATTTGATAGCAGATCTAATTGTTGACAATGTCTGTGAAAACACAAACACTCGTCCAACTGATGTGGTTAGTTATTTTTGTTCATCATATGGTCTTAC